AGCTGCCGCAGGACGTTTTGTATGTGCTCGAAAGCCGCATACTGGCGCATACGACTGGGCATTTCCTTGGTCATCTTGATCAAGCCATCGATCGACTGGCGGAGCTTTCGGGGCTGCACGCTTGTCCATAGCATGTCCCTCAGGTCATTGAGGCTCTTCCAGATGGTTGACAGAGCTGCCCAAACTGACATGAAATCCTGCACCTCTTCAAGAATTGCTGGTAACGAGGACTCTGAGCTAGCCGGAAGATCGAGAGCTTCTTTAGCCTTGGATACCATCTCGAATTCGGCCTGAAGGGCTTCGAGGCGGGATTGGAAGGAGCTCAAAGTCCGAGAGGCCTCCTCAGGCGGAATAGTTCCAGAGACGGGCTTCTCTTCGTTCCACTGAGCAATAACTTCAGTAATCTTATCACCGATGACTTTATCTTCCGCCGTGATCTTCGCGCGCAGCCCTTCCGTCTGGTCGTGGACAATCTTGCTCTTCCGTGCAAGCAATTCGTTTAGGGCTGCCCATTCGCCATCGACATTCTCCACATGGAGCCAGTCAGTAGGGAACTGGTACCGCTGGCGCGCTAGGGTAGCCTGGCCTTGCCGGAAGAGATTGACTTCCGGCTCCCAGACCTTTGCCTTGCGCTTGCATTGTTGGACAATTGTGATGAAGGAAACTGCGTGAGCAGTCGAAGAAGCCTCGAGGGTTTGTCCTTCCAGGTCTCTACGGGCCGCAGCAATCTCTGAATGGACTTCTCTCATCCGAGCTCCGAGCTTCGATCCGAACTTCAATAGAATCTCATGCTGCCACTGATCGTATTTGGCGTTGACCCTAGTCTGGACCTGCTCATAGTCTATCTTGATGTTGCCAAATGACCGGCTGACCTCGGAAGTGTCGAATGTGGCTCGGCTCTTGCGAATTTCCTGAAGCAACTGGAGCCATTGCGCTAGGTCGTCGCCTAGGATGTCGTACACTTGTTCGGATTGCAAGTCCCATAGGGATTGGAACTGTAACCATTTGTCGACATACTCTGAAACTTCCTTGAGTCTGCCCTCCACAACACTATAGACATGGCTAAGTTCTTCAGTGCAGTGCTGCGGAAGATCAGCGAAGCAAGCTTCGGACAACTGAACTTTCTGTACATCAATCGATATCTGATATCGGGATGATTTAATCTTCTCCAGGTGGCAGATCACGCCAAGCCAGTTGTCGAAGTGGGAGAACCAGCTCGCTCGAGCATATTGTAAAGGCGGATCAAGATGAAGAACTTGATTGCGCATGGAGATTTCGTGGACTAGTTCGGGGAACTCTATTCTGTACGATACAGCCTCCGGCTCGCCCGCGGCCGGATGCTGGGTTCCAATTGACACTTGTGAAGCACTCTGTTGCTCCTTGGCTTCATTGAAGGAGTGGATCCACTCACGAATGGCGCGATGGAGCCGGTCACGAAGGATTGACTCGATCTTTTGGTTCAAACGCGCGACCCAGTACCCCAGGTTGACGTAGTTCTCCAGATTAAGCTTGTCAACAGCGACTTGTATCGTGTCCAAACGCTGTTTGAACGCTGAAGCCTCGTATGGGCATGTTTTCAGCTCAAGGATGGCTTTCTGGATGTTTTCGTGTATTGAGGACAAAACAGCAGTTTTTGATTGCAGTACTGACGCTGATCCTGCAAATTCTCGAACGAACTGAACATGCTTGCTTTCTCCTCTGCCTGGAATAGCAGACTCAATGGCGCCGTTGGCCAGGGCAGATTGCTTTACGTGCAGCTCGTACGAATGAACGAAAGACTCCCATCTCAGGGGAATTCCTTTGATGACCATGCCTTGCGCATCATTCAGATACCCGTTGAGTAGGATGGCAACCTCTGTCATGGCAGCAATGGAGCGAGTGGTTTGGAGCAATGTCCGAACGCTTTCCATCAGGCTGATGGCGTATGGATAAACACGTTTCGCCTCTTTTGAGATACTGCTGACAGCATGCGGTACTTGGAAATTAAGCCAAATGAGGTTCCTTACTTCCTTGAACAAGGCAATAATTTGAGCATCAAAGTTGACGGTAAGCTCTAGGCTGTTTCCTGCAGCGCGATTGCGCGTAACATTGAACAGTCGGCCAGCAATGGTGATGTGACGCCTTTGCACATCATGCAGCCATGATTCGAAAACGGGCCGCGTATCCAGCTTCTTCCGGAAGAGATTGCCCTCAGCTTGGAGCTTCTGACCTTCGGAATGAAGATGCCAATCTTCTCCAAGGACATCCTCGACCTTTCGCATATAACCGTCGAGTTGCCGCTCAATCTGGCGGGCCCAGACGATTGCACCTGACACAGGGGGCAGGTCATGCAACTGTGCCATCGCATGTGCCTCCGAGTGGCCATACTGCTGTTTGAAGCGCTCATGCAGGGCGGAAATGTCCTGTTTGACATTCTCAATAAGCTGAGTTTGATATTCGCCAATCGCACCTCGAATCTTTGGGCGAACAAGAAGAGCATTGAACTTTGAAAAGACTCGAAACATTTCGTTGGCGTTCTTAGCTGTAGCCAGACGATCGCGCAAGCGAGCAATGATAGAGTTCTCAACACGAGAGGTCCGCTCATTGTAGGCAATTTCCTCCTGAATCCAGAGCTGGGTGCCTTCCGGGGATACGTCCAGCACATCTACATTCTTCAGCGCAGCATACGCTTGTGCAACTTCCTCGACCGCGTCAACATCTCCAATCTCTTCGACGATCACAGCACCGTCAGAGCCTGCTCCGTTGGCGGTGTCTCCAGTAGACGAAGTCTTTGGGCCGAGTACATTCACAATCGTTTTCTGAAGCTGCTCATGGTTCACTCTGAAGGTGTTGATGTACTTCAGCCGTTCCTGTGTCTTTTCATGCCGCGCAGCGATCTTGATAGGGATGAACTTTTCGTTTCGACGTCTTGTGGATTCTCGGGCTACGTTGGTGAACTCCTTCAGATTCTCATCCCAAGTTCGCCAGATCGCACCACACGTCTTCATCAGAGAACGGAATTCGCGATAGTCCAGGTGCAGAATAGTTCGTCCGTGAAGCAGACTATGAATTTGCGTGTCAAGATCACCCGAGATAGCTTCGACAAGGGCAAGAGCTCGCTTGATCGGGTAAGGACAAATCTTCAACTTCTTATTAAGATGGCCAAAAATCAGACCAAGGGATTCCTGGACTTTCTGCAAAGTGGTGGCGGAAAGCAGTTCATCCAGGGGAAAATCGCGCATAAGCTGATTGTACTTTTGCACCATGTCCGTTGCTTCTCGCAAGCCGGTGTCCGCAACGAAGCTGAGCGTTGCTTGGTAACGTTTGGCATGGCGGAGAATATCCATGGTCAACTGAACACCATCGCTGCGCAGCTGGTTTTCAATACCTTCGAGAGCGGTCTCCATCGACAGCCAGAAGTTGATCTCCTGAGCTGCCGATCCGCTATCGGCATCGCGAGACATTTTCGTGATCGTCTGGATAGACCTGATCCAAGCATTGACGGTATTTTGAATGCTGTTGATGAAAGCACTACTCTCCAGAACGTTTGAGGGAATCAGCTCCACAGAAGGCTTGATCCCGCGGGTCTCCGCTTCGACCAGGGCGGCTTGGACTACCTCATGGAGCGGCAGGTTCAACGCGGGAATCTCAACATTCTGTTGCAGGTGGAGCAAGCCTAATTCCAGTTCTGCAAATTTCTTCTTGGTCCCAGGCACGCCAGTCTTCACCTCTGTATCTGTTCTGGGTTTCAAACCAGTCGCTGCATCCTGATTGCGGGTATTGGCCTCGAAGTAGGGGCTGAGCGCATGGTGCACGAGCAGATGCAGGACCTCATAAGGAGACAAAGAAGTACCTTGTTGCGCCTGAGCGTTGTTGAGAGATGCTGGACCGGGGAGGTTGATAACCTGAACTTGCGACGATATGGGAAGCGTAGGGTCAATGGGAGCAGGGCGTTTGATAAATGCGACAGACGCGACCGTAGTGGAGGAAGAGGAGATTTCAGCGGAGAGGTTGTATGCATACTGAACAGAAGAAACTGCAGAAGAACAAGACAAGGTTATTATTGTATCGTGGAGCTGACAGCTTGGAACACACATACCTTCATTCTCTGCACCACTCGTCCCTTCTGAAGCCACAAGATCCTTCTGCACATAAAGAGCTACCTGCGACTCTGAAGCAAAGCGTGTACTTCTCTGTACCGTCTCGCTGTATTTGGCCTCCGATAGCAAGCTGCCTGTGCTCTCAAGCTCGGTTTTCAGAGCTCCTAGAGTGGCTTGCAGGACATCGACCAAGTACTGAATCAAAGCCGCAGAATCCACGAACGACGCCTGAGCTGGTGCTGGGACGCCGTTCGATACCCCCGCAGAGGCGACCTCCATGTTGGTGATTCTTTACTGGTAGCAACCCACGGTGAACATGGAGAAGTTGATAAGGAGCTGTCCTGAGCAGTAGTTCGGGTGTATGAATGCGCAACGTCGACTAGTAGATTAGGCCAAAAGAGTAAGTCGTTTGAAGTAGCGGGTTGACAAAGAGATCGTCAGAAATTATTTGAAGGGATAATTATGAAATGTAGTACGGAAATTAGTTAGATGATGATCATGACCCTTTGTTCATTTGGGCCTCTTCTATCTGATCTTCCACCTAACTATTTTATTATTATTACTATCGGCCATGCGGGACGCGGCAGGCGTGTTTTCTTTTCTTGTCTGGTACTTCAGGGGGTGATCCCGCGCTATCCCCATTACGGCTTAGCTCCCTGTCGGTGTCCTCGGGTCATCGTTGTCCTTACCCAAGGCTCGTTTCCACTTGGCAGGACACCTTCCTTACCTTACCTACTCGTGGTTCATACTATACACGGGGCTGTAGATCGGTAGCAGAGTGCGACAGCAACGTCTTATTGATCAGAGCTTAATATGAGAACCACCTTGCGTGTATGCATACTCATCATTCTCTGTAAGCTAACAAAACCTCTGGAATCTGTTTATCTAGCACTATCTTCGCATATTCACCCACACGCATTATCAAATTGCAGTCCCAATCTCCATCGCGCAGGAAGAATTCTTTATTTCTTTACAATCGCAATGGTACTTCTGCCGGAACTCAAAGGGCAGAAGACCATCAAGCACTGTCAAAGCCTTCTCACTTGCCTTCACTTTTGCATGGCGACTGGAAGACCACCTTGCCTCTGAAATCACATTGCCGTGCACAATGACAGCAGCTAGGACGCCAGCTGGCGCTCCATCAATGGTTGGCAATTCCCCTGCTTTTAAGCAGTAGTTTGTACAACCGTACTCATTCGTCAGCTTATTGTGGAGGAAAGTCTAAAGTTCCATCAGTCATAGGTATGAACACAATGGCCATTAGCAGCCTTACAGTTGGGTGCTTGTTGGCAAAAGTGTCGTAGATTGACATGTCCTCAAAGAATGGTTTGATCTGGCGCTCGAAGAACGCCTCTATTACTTGAAAGTCGAACTTGGAGTCCACGAAAATGGCTCCGAGATATGCTTCGACCATGTCTGGCAAACACTACATTCCAGGTCAGTAACATGAATAGACGAGGGTATATCTGTGAGAATACTTTTGGTGGATCCTTCGCAACAACCCAATAATCGACCGCTCCCTGGCTTTCAGCCTGTGCAGCCTCTATCTCCTCAACATAGTGAGTAATCTGAGCCTGTAGAGGGTTACTGAAAGCCATGATACGCCTATGAAATCCCAACTTCACAGATAATGCGCCAAGGAACTTATTTGATACCATTGCCATCTGCACGATTGTAGTCAGCCTTATTTTCCGGGACGAAAGAGAAGGGGATAAGAAAAACGCAGCTCTGAGCTTACCTTATGCTCGGTAAGCCATTGAGGGTCTCGATCAGGAAACCTACGAAATAGGTCCTCCACGCAGACCATATCTAGCAGCGAATCACCGAGAAATTCAAGTCGCTGGTAGCAGGGCACACGGTAGCCCCACGTCGAAGGGAGAGACGGATGGGTGATGGCGGATGCGAGGAGTCTGGGATAAGTGAAGTGGTATCCCAGCTCCTCCTCAACATGGCGAGCGAGATCATCCTCAGATCCTCTGGATTTCTCGGCCTGGTATTTTGGCATAGTGTAAAGAGTGATATATTCCTTCCAACAGGAGACCCTGTGGCTGGGGCTGTCAACCAGAGCAGTCACTGCTTTCGTAGCCATGTCAAATCTATGTTCGGGGCCTCCTGACAGCAACGATGCTCCTATCAGGGCCTCACAAACGTCAGCAATCGTCTTTTCTCCAAGGGCATGTTTTCCTTCGGAAAGGAGCTTTTTGCTGTGGTCCTTTCCATGCAACAATGTCAAACCATCAGGATACCATATATGCCTGCCATTCGAGCTGTCAGCATCTTACTAAGTTCAAGTCTCGGTCTAGAGAATCGACGTACCTCGAGAATCCCCGGCTACGGATGTACCGGTATATCTGCTTCTTAATGGCCGTATTGAAGAGATTCTTGTTGCAAATGAGGCACATCCGGTTCACATGGTAATCGAATTCGTCGTCATCTGGATTCTGAGTGAAAAGCGCAATCGATGTGGCCATTTTCAGAAAACAATCTCCCAGAAACTCTAAACGCTCGTAGTTCTTGCCCATGCCTCGCTGGAAATGGATTTGTTGGCCTCGATGCTCCTCAGTGTTGTCCGAATCCTTCGTAAACGCCTCCAAGGCAAACTCAGGTCGAATAGCGAGATCAAGTTCGTCACATGCTTCGAGAGCAATGAGATATGAGTCCAGTCTGGTGATGATTGCTGGAAATGCGAGACAGGTAGACGCTGTTGAAGCAGGGATCTTCGCCATACGTTAGCATACCAACATATGCGCTAATTATGGGCATGAAGGGTCAACTAACAGCAGATATCCTCAGCGGCTCGGCACATATAAAACACCCAGATTGCGTCTCTTTCTCCTGGGTGGTCATCTTATCCAGGAGATTCCGGCGAAGACGGACTAGCTCCGCCTGGAGGACTGGCTGATTCCAGTCGCAGCCGGAAAGAAACCTGGCTCGTGAATTCTTTGACAGACTCAGTGTGTAGTTCATAATATCGTTCATATGCCTGCGGCGTGGCACCGAAGGTGGCGGCGGATCAGAGGGTCGCAATGTATCAGCCACAGCAACTGTGAAATAACGGAACCGCCCGTCCCAGTTGTCGAATATAAACCGATTCACCAAGAAGTCAGGGTCCAGGTCTCTAGAGAAAGGGATTTCATAGTTATTATGTACAAACGATATTGTGTCCCAGTCAATACAATCGCGAGGATTTGTTCCCCTGCCTCGACCATCGAGCGCCTCTGCTGGAGCAAGCCAGTAAGGCATTTTCTGGACGTCATGTTCATAAACCTTGTGGAAGACGTCCCGAAATATTCGAAGGGTAAATGTGGTCAGCGACTGTAGTTCGCCAACCGATATTTGCAAGCCATGCTTCAGTTGGTTGGATAGGACCTTAGTCTCGACGTCCTCGTCAAGGTAGATTGAGAACGCCGGAATCTCTGGCAACTTTTCTCGGGTCAGCAAGAGTATGGGTCTATGGTCGCGACTCAGGGGTTTTGAAGGCAGGAGAGACATGTGAATCCCGTAAAACGTGTCAGTTGTTGCAGTCCGTTGTCTAGCCCAGATGGAAGGCTTTAACAACATGTCATACTGGTTCGTTCGCTTGCACGTAATGGCTAACTTTGCGTTCCTCATTGCTGGCAAGCGTCTATGATAAATCGAATTAAAATAATCATCAAGCAATCTGTTTCTCCGGAGCATGAGGCACGTATCGAAAGCCGCAGATTGTTTGGCGACGGCCTTTCTCATTGCTGGGCTTCCAGTGAGTCCTCGAAAGGGTGACTTTTCAGGCAATATCACTTCGCAAACATAGGCACTGCTAACAGCCGAGACCACATAGGTTACTTGAGGTACGGTTTCCTTCTCGTATTGCTGTCCAATGTTGATATCAGACTTTCATGAAGATCAAGGTGACAAAGCTTACCAGAGAACTGGCATAACGCGCAAGAATTGCAATAGCGGAATGATATGTGAGCTTTGCTCCGGTGCTTTTCACAGTAAAGGTTCGTCTTCCTTCCTCTTCCTGAAGTAGCGAATCCAAGTCGTGGTCGTTGCCGTGCAGTATTCGATCTTCGGGGAGAGTTTCACAGAACCGCTGCATAATTTTCTGATCCATCAGACCCGTTCAAAGAGGACCAAGATCTAAGAGTCCAAACTTACTTCGGCCTCGCGAACCTCTTTAAGCCGTCCTTCATGCTCCGCATTGTCCTTTTCGACCATAATCGCGTACTGAGCGTAGACAAAGTCAGAGGCTACTCGGGACAATCAACCAGATTAAGTAACGTACCGTGGAGGTGCAATGTCTAGCTCTTCCTCGACTTTGTACATACTGGATAAGTGTGCGATACAGATCGAATCTTGGTGGAGTTACTAAATATTCGTGAAAATTAATGGTGCCATAACATACCTGACAACCAGATTGCAATCTGGTATATCGAGACCTTCTTCCGCCACTGATGTAGCAAACTTCTACACGTCAAACGAGCCACAGTTAAAGCATTTTCGCTGGGTATCTCACCAAGCAGTTAATCTCTCCTGTTCTGAATTTCACTAAAGCAAGAAACTGTTGCCGAAACGTAATGTTCATGCCACCGATGTCACCGGGTCTAACGCCTATGAGAACCCCTGGACGCAAATGAGGAATGCTCAGAACTGTAAAAAGCTCATTGAGAATCTTGGCAGTGTAGCGCTTCTGCGTAAAGACAATACATTTTGTTTCTGTGGCGCGACTGAAGTGTTTGCTGAGTTCCATGCGGAGAAGCTGCACTTTAGGGCTAAGTTCACCTGGGAGCTTGGGATCAGCGAAAGAGTAGTTCTTGACGGTCTCACTTGCTTCTCTGATGCGTATAGTATCCTTGAAAACAGCACCATGTTCTCCATTTAAGGTGTTCGACTCAGCAAGCTTGCTGATGTTACCCTCAAGTTTAGGCAACACATCATCTGCCAAGGCATGCCACCATGCTCTGTCTGAACACCATTTTCCCAGTTCTGAGCTGGCATGCCAGGCAAATCTAAAGACTCCTTCGAGTACCTTGATATTGCCATAGCGAGTATCCATGAGCTTATAAAGTTCCGTTGCGAAAGGTGACTCAAGCCTGTTGTATGCCCACACTTTCTCTATCGGGCGACTGACAACTTCCCGCAGGAGTGTGATCTTTGAAGTTGTGGCGATTCGACTATCCAACAGAGTCTCTAGTCTCCTACAAGTGGTCAGGCTAATATCCCCTTGCTCACTGGCTGGGAACATACGTTGCGGCTTCTGTGATGTCGCCTTTTGTGTCGATTGGCGAAGCTGTCATTCCGAAGACCCGTGGACGCTGAGAAGGCTGTGCCTTGAAATAAGAATCCCTGATAATGCTTTGGTAAAGTTAGTATTAGCTCTGCGGTCTGAAGTGTACCACGAACCGGGCATATGGGTGATCTTTCTTCGCATGATGAGCTTCATCAAAGATCAGAAGGTTTATTTGATCCATCTTTACGTATGAATTGAGCAAGCATTGGTTCAGGATCTCCGCTGTACAAACTACCACCATGTTCTGCTGCAAATGCTCGTCCCAGGTCCGTTTATCCCATAGGTCAGTGCCCATGGCTCCAAAGAAATGCGCGACATTCTGGTCAATGTTATTGCGCAAAACGGCGGCCTGTTGATATGCGAGTGTGACGCTGTCGACCTTGCAACAAGTTAGCAGACTCCTCACCAAGGCTAGCAAAACAAATACCAGAAAGAACGATACACGATGCGGCTTTCCATTCGCGCGATTATCCAGCTCGTTCAGGATGGTATGTCTCAGCAAAAGCACGGCGATCAATGTCTTTCCCGATCCTACAATTGGTTAGCAGAAGGTTCACTTACTGAACAACAGAAGGAAAATACTGAAAGCCCGCTTTAACGGCAATACCTGTATCGAGAACGGCAATTGTGTTCTGCGCCTTGGCCCGTTCGAACAACTCAATCTGATATTCTCTCGGGTCCAACAACCCGCTCCCCAGATCTTGCTTTGCGACCAAATGAGCGATCGATAGCTCGCCATCTGACAAAACTATTGGCCCTCTATCCACGGCATCGTTGGAATCTATATCGGTGCGCTTGGACAGCCTTTCATCTAAGTCAGCAGTAGTTTACAAGGTATCTCCAACGATGGTACTGACAGGGCTTCAAATTGAGCATTCTGGACTCGTCGTCGCTGTGAGAAATCATTTGGATTGGGAATGTCTTCATTATCATTATCAGAGTCGCCTGAAGAGAGCTCGTCTTTGTGAACATCAGCACTAGAGTCTGCTGGGTCGTTTGCAGTAACATCGTTTATGAAGAGATCTCGTAACAGTGCAACATTGCTGGAGTCTTCGCCTTTCAAAGACAAGGATGACGACCCATCCACCAGAGAGATTTGTTCAGTCATGGTTGTCGAATTCTGAAATGGCTGAGTTGGCAAAGGATGGAGGAAGTGCAGAAATATATTGCTTTTACTTCATGAGGAGATGATTAAGTATACAGGGGGGCATGGATAGGTTTGCATTCATTACGAGGAGAAGAAGAACTGTATTTGTAGAAGAGGGAAACAATGAGAGAAAATAGAGTGAATGTATAAAAAATAGGGAAGCTCTATAGCTTAGTCGTTTGAGTCGTATTGATCGCAAACAGAAGGGTTTGCACACAAAACAAGGACTCTGAGACATGATGACTCTGTTTCAGTCTGTTACCTGCTACTGCTCTAATGTAAATCTCTTATATATTGTCACTCATAATGATCATGGAAGCTGTAGTGAAGAAAGCTAGCTCTTGAGTCCGATGCTGAGTCTATCTCGGACCCAGCGTTGTTGATAAGAAAGAGCTCTGACCAACTGATTGCGGGGCGTGGATCTGGCGCCTGCGGGGCGAGTCCGATAATATTATTTTTGCGCAGGCCCGATCGCCAGGTACCGCAACGAAGCTTGTCCTTGTCGATTATCGTTGTCATATCGTCATTGCCCAGGATGGAGCAACCTCAAAGCCTCCGGTCACTATTTACCGCTGCAAAGGCTGAGAAAGCCTCGTTGGAGTCGCGGCCCGACTCCAATTCTGACTCCTATCGCAAGGATGTCAATGAAACGATAGCGAAATTTGAGGAATGCCAGCGCCTCGTTGGCCAACTCTCCTTGTTCAGCTCGAACGAACCTCTGGAGGATATTGCAACAGGGGATATACAGTGAGTGAAATTACTGCTGAAGCTGTGACGAACTTGTGCTCATGACTGTACTTCTCTGCAAAGGTACCTCACAGTGGATTATCTTCTCGCAGATATTCTCCAACGTACCTATACCTCAGACCGGGAGTCTACCCTCCGGCGTGCTTTGGAACTATACGAGAAATACCTTTCGCGGTTAGATGACTATGGACTGCTTAATGACAACGAGAAGAAGCTACACGAACGTTACATATCGGATCCTACGTCGTTCTCGCTGACTCCGACGAATGATGCAGCCACCCGAAGAGAAGTGAAGCTATCGAGATTTCGGGAGGAGAAAGAGCTGAAACAACGGCTTGAGGTTTGTTCAATGGTTCTCCGGCGGTCGTGAGCCTTACTTACAGTCTCATCAGTATTTTTCTAACAATCGGAGCCAACTACAAAGTGATGACGAAGACGTCCGGAAACTTTACTTGGCAGAGATCAATCTGTACACGCATCAAACCTTCCAGTCGATGGATTTACTCGCGCAAGAACTCTCAATGCTTTCAGCAATTCGCAATAACCCTCCCAATCCCGCTGAGCTCCCGCAGGACGACCCCAGGCGACGAAGCAACAATGCTGAATCAGGTTACTCGGAGCGTCTTGACCCGCCTTTGTCTCAGCTCCTCAGAGGTGGAAAGTCCGGAGCGATACTAAGTAGAGAAGGAAAGCCATTGCAGCCTTTTACTTTACTGGATCGCCGCACTCAACTTCAACAGGGCGTGTTTAGGTCCGGCCATAATCTCCCCACAATGACGATTGATGAATATCTTGAAGAAGAAAAGAGAAGAGGTGGTATAATTGAGGGTGGAGAGAAGTCCGGTATGAAAGAGGAAATAGACGAGGATGATATGGAAAAGGCAGACGAAGAGACAATGAAGGCTCGAGCCTGGGACGAATTCACGGAAGCGAACCCAAGAGGCTCCGGGAACACCTTGAATAGGGGATGATGTCTTGCCGTTGAAGTTCGTCAACATGAGATGTGCCTAGAAATGGACGCTTTTGGAGCCGATATCCCTCGTCGTGCAATGCAAGTCGTTGCTAATAATAACAACTAAACCCGCAGTAAAATACGTCTCCTATTTGTCATGTCGAGAAAATTCAAAGGGGTTATTCTTTTTCAAGGAAAAAATGCCTGGGATGAGGCGGAAGAACGTGCTTATATACACCTATACAAGCTGGGCTTGTGCATTATATGTTTTTACATGGGGTATACATGGCGTATCGGCCCACTGTCTTCTTGCTAAGACTAGGGAGAAGACCAGCATCTCCACTTCGGTGAGATCGGATACTTTGCTCATCCACCGACAGTTTGTCCTCAAGGTGTGAGCTTTTTGCGTTGGATCTCCGCAAGGATCTCCCCTGCGCCCTTTTCTACCAGTGCCTTCGCAACGGTCACACCGAATTCTTCAGCGGATTCTGCCGTATCAACTGATCCGTCTACTTCAACCTCAGCACTTTCACGACCGTCAACGCTGACGACTATGGCCCTCATTCTCAGCTTGGATAACCCATCGAAATCCTGGACCCACTCCGTCTCAACACCAAGAGGGGCACTGCAGCCACCCTCAAGAGTTCGCAAGAGGCTTCGCTCTGCGAGGCAGGCCATAGTCGTTTCGTGATGACCGATAGACTTGAGCATATCACGCAGAAGCTTATCGTCTTTGCGAATCTCAACACCAAGTGCTCCTTGGCCAACTGCGTAGAGCATCCCGCCATTCTTAGAGTCAAGATACTGGGATATGCGGTCCTCCAGTCCTAGCCTCAACAGACCGGCCGCAGCCAAGATTATGCAAGTAAACGGGCCATCCTMAGCATCTAGTTTTGCTAACCGAGTGCCGATGTTGCCGCGCACATCCTGGACCTTCAGGTGAGGGTACCGGCGGGCGAGTTGAGCAGTGCGGCGGATGGATGAAGTACCCACGACCGACCCTGCGGGCATCTCGGAGAAGGTCATGTTGGGCAATCCTTTCTTCATCACCAGAACATCCCTTGTATCTTCTCTCTCCATCATGGGGCCCAATGTACATGAGGAAGGTAGTTGAGTTGGTACATCTAAAATCGATTATCGGTCAGTAGCAAGCATTATAGCAATCTGAGGCAGGCGTGATAGACCTACCCTTCAATGAATGAACAATAAGATCAACATCACCAGCCATCAAAAGCTCTTCCAACTCCTGCGTCCAGAKGTTCTTTGTAGTGAATTCGCGGAGAGCAATAACAGTATTCTTATCACCCGCTGTCTCCTGAGAGTGTATTTGAAATGTATATTCCGGGTATGACTTCTTCAGCGCTGCCAGAACCAGGTCGGTTTGCATGAGAGCAAGCTTAGATTTGCGTGTCCCTATCGTGAAGGTCCTCCGCGACGAGGAATTTGCGGCCTCGGAGGAAGGAGGGGCAGATGCCATTGCGATAAGTGTTTCAACAAGGGGAGGGGGATGAGCTTTGCTTCGGGACGGCACTGCAGACGATCGAAAGGTTTAGTCAACAGAGATAAATGTGCAGAATATCTAGAGAACAAGAATTTAAAGGGTCGTGTCTTCAAGTTGAAAGCTAATCAAGTATCTCTGTAATCAGAAGAATCTCTGGGAAATTTGAAGCCGCTCTGGCGGGCAATCAGTAACTAACGGTGATTACCGCCTTCCGCTCTGAGGTACTGTCACAGGGTGTACCGTAAGGTACCAATAACCGTAAAGTTATCTTACGACGGGTGAAATACTCATACAGATCCCCGTGATCCATCATCAAGAGATGGAGTGACTGCATGACGGTTCCTCTATCACTTCAGACCACAGAAAATTTAGTGACGCGTACTGAGAAGCTTGCATTGATACTACTTGAACTGGTCTATTGACGTGTATCCAATCTGCCACAACCAGGTCAACAGTTTGGGGCTGGTACATCAATCCCCGGATTCGACTGACGTAGATCAGGCGAACCTCGGCTTCGGGAAGCGCTTATCGCTTCAATCGCCTCCCCAGAGTCACGGACTACATCCATGGAGTTCTGGAACCTCTCCGCGGCCTTTTAAAACCAATCGTCCGACACCCTACAGCCCATTTATGTTAATTAACTGGCTTCAAACGAACGCTGTATCCTCGTGCTCCTGTACTAATAGCTCTGTTTGATATTGACACAAGTTGTGTCTTCGGATTTGGGTGGCCGAAATGGGTTCCAACAACGGAAGAGCGACGAAGTTAGCTTTAGTCCCTTTACCCAAAGGCTCCGTATTGCTCCCTGGCGTCACTCTACGCATACCGGTGTCAAATCGCCCTGATCTTGCCAACCTTCTCTCAACTCTTCTTGATCAGACAAATCTGGGAAAGCGGGATGGGAACTCTATCACATTCGGTTGTGTACCTTTGAGTTCGCCATTGCTGAGCAACGACGGCCAGCAGCTGATCGATGATGGAAGTTTGGATGGTGCTAAGAAGGAGGAATACGATGCTATAGATGCAGGTCAGGCAAGAAAGGAGGATCTCTTCCGGTACGGCACGGTTGGCAAAGTGATAGGGGTGCAACGACGTGCCTATGCAGAGCCGTTCCTCGTCGTCCAAGGGGTTCAACGTTTCACCATCAAGCACATCTTGAAGGAGAGGCTCTTTTTCGAGGCAGAGGTGGTACTACACAATGAACGAGGTTGGTGCAGAAAGCTATTTGCCGTTAAAGGTATATTCTTCATCGCAGCTAATAACAAGTCGATAGATGCCATTTCCAACGATGCAGAGACCGTTGAGTTGTTCCACCAGTTGAGACAACTATCTCGCGAACTCATAACTCTCCTACGACTGTCGTCTCTACTACCTTCGACTGGCCCGCGCCTGTCGCCGCTCGTTGCTCGCAAATTCGAGGTGTACATTGCTAAGACGGATTTGTCGCAGGCGGGCAATTTGGCGGACTTTATGGCAGATGTAGCTGATCCTACCTTCGAGGAGAAACTTCGCGTATTGGCTTCTTTCGCTCTGAGAACTAGGTTGGAAAGAGTCGTCGAGCTTTTGGGCCGACAGGTTCAAGGAATCAAGAACAACGTCAAAGTTACTACGATCTCCACCTCGTCATTCCCACCCAATTCTCCGTTTGATATTAGTCAGATCGATCCTCGAGATCGTGAGTTGTTGGCAAGGCGAGCCATGGCCGGCTTGACGGGCTTGACCCCCCCTGGAGCCGCAAGCGGGCGTAACAACGAGGACGAA